AGGCAATCCACTCACCTCAGCCTCCCAAAGTGCGGGATTACAGGCTGAGCCACCGAGCCTTATTTTACTTTTATTATGGAGATTTCCAAACACAGAGAGGTACAGAGAGTAGTGTCTGGACCCCATAAGCCCATTACCCATCCTCAACAATGACCAGCTCTGAGGTCATCTTATTTCCTCTCTACTCCTCCAACTTGCCTTCCCTCCAACCCCTATTATTTTAAGATGAATGAAGCCATTTTGTCATTTCATCTCCTTAGGTGTTTGTCCCTGCCCGCTGAGTTTTCAGCCCGTATGCAGGCTGACTCCCCATCCTGGACTCATCCCACGGCGCCACTTAAAAATGTTGCCCTCCCATTTACAGCAAAGCTGGGATCTGAACCCATTTCCATCACATCCAGAAGCCAAGCACTTCATCCTACCCTGTGCTGGGGATCCTACAAAGTCCTGGGGGTGCTGAGCCCACCCTGTCCAGTGTGACCCCAGGCTCACCCCTGCAGTATTTGGGTTATGACGAGACCCTTGGGCCCCTGACCAAGCAGCAGTGTCTTGACTAGGACACCTGCAGTACGCGGGATGTTCCAGGAGTGAGAACAGCCTAAAGCCACATGGTGCAGTGGAAGGGGCGCAGAGGTGGGCTCAGACTAACCTAACTTTTAGCCCCACCGCTGACTCAAGTCTATGGCTCAGTTTCTCTTGACTTCAGTTTTCTCATCTATAAAATGGGGACACTGGTATCAACCTAGTTATTGTGAGCCTCACATGAAATAATAAATTTGAAAATGTCCAACCTCCTGCCTAGCCCATACTGGCTCTTAGCAAAGATGGGTTTCTTTCTTTTCTTCCCAAAGCCTTGTTTCATTATGACCAGCCCTCTTGCTCAAGAACTTCCTGTGGCTCTCTGTGACCCACTGACGTAAGTCATCACTCCACTACCTGGCCATCAAGGCGTCTGTAATCATGGTTCGTCTTCTGATGTGGCCTCTCTTTGCCTGTCCTACCTTGTATCTCACCAGTCCTCACAGTTCAAACCGTCTGTCAGCCAGGTAAGCCCCCACCCATCCCCTAACACCCTGATGCTCATCATACACTCCTTCCCTGGAACGCCTTCCTCTCTCCCCCAAAATTCTCTCAATACTCACCTCTTCCAGGAAGCCCTCTAGATTTTTCCCTATCATACATTGCTCTTTCCCTCACTTCGCATATCCTCAGCACTTAATGCAAAGGCCACTGGACCAGGGATGAGTGCATTGGTTTTGAGCAGTGACATTCATGGTCGTGTGACCATGGATAAGGTCACTTATGTCCTTTGTAAAGCTTGTCTTCAAAACTCACAGGGAGCCGGGCTCGGTGGCTCACCCTGAAATCCTGCGCCTTTGGGAAGCTGAAGTGAGTGGATTGCCCAAGCCCATAGGTTCGAGACCCGCCTGGGCAGGCGAGACCTCATCTCTACAATAAAATCAAAAAATTAGCCGGGCACAGTAGCGTGCGCCTGTAATTCTGGCTACTTGGAAGGCTGAGGCGGAAGGATCGCCAGAGCCCAGCAGGTCGAGGCTGCGGTGGCCGGGAGCGGCCACTGCACTCCAGTCTGGGCGACAGAGTGAGACTCCAACTAAAAAAAAAACAAAACTCACAGGGTTGTGCATGCCATGGGTGAACAGCACGTTGCCAACAATAATAATGTTAATAACTAGTGTATATTGCACATTTACTATGCCATGCACTCATTTCTTCCTATTTCTATGACTAGTCCCATGTTACAGATGAGGAAGCTGAGGGCTAGAGTGAAGTAAAGTGTCTGTATAACACTGTGCTGGTCCCTAGACCTGGAATTGTGCCCTCTTCCCTCTTTTCCATATTAGCAGCAACTCAAAACTCCTACTTTAGTTCTCAGGTCAGGTGTTACTTCCTTCTGGAAGCCCTCCAGGCCCTTTCTGTTGGACTTAATGCCCTTTCCTTTGCTCCTGTAGCACCTGTCCATCCTGTCAGAAAGTCTGGATTCTGAGTTACTGGGGAGAAGGGACTATCTTTTATACCTATGCCTAATCCTGGCAGCTAGCATGATACCTGAAACATAGCAGGAGTTCAACAAATGTTACAGGGAAGGAGAGAAAAAGAAGGAAAGAAGAGAAGGAGAGAGAAGACAGAGGAAAGAAAAAGAGAAAGACAAGAGGAAGGACAGTTGTACATGAATTGGACCCTCTTGGGTGAGACGATGCTTCCGAAGAGGGGGGAGTAGGAGGGAGGAGTCCAGTGACCTTAGAGGAATTGGGGGTATCTTTGCCAATGGCTGAAAACTCAGAACCAGGTGAGCTTCCGTGAGTCAGTTGAAAATTGTGTTTGCTGACAATAGCCCAGACACCTAAATAGTGGCTTCTGGAAGGTGAATGTTCTTTCAGTCTGGAGATGTGAAGTCCAGCCAGGGATCAGCCCTTGGT